ATCAAACACTTCGTTCACTGTTTATTTGAACGTATAATATATATATATATATTTGCAAGAGTTCACTTGCTGCGTGCGCAAAGAGGCGCACACATGCTTGGCGACCGCGGGGGCAGTCCGGGTAAACTCGCGCCAACACCACCCCCCGCCACCTCTTGACAGAGGGGTCCTCCCACCCCGTCGAGCGCTCATTTCCTGCAACTTTTCAAGTGACACGACTACAGCAAGACGTGGCTAAAGGCACGCGCCCCACTACCACCAGGACGTGGCTACGGGCCACGCGCCCTGCCATTCAACAGGGCCCGCAATTTGGCTTAGAGGCATCTGAAGTTGATCCACGGTCACGTCGTCTCTCCATCACACTGCTGACAGGCGCCAAAACACTTGATAACGGCTGACGAAGTGGGAACGTTCTACCCTGGATTTGTTGCAGCTTCACCGCGCATCCCTGGCCCGACCGAGCAGCCTCCCTTTCCAAGCTTGTTTGGAAACATGACCTTCCCATGCCATCTTCCCTCGAGAGGGAAGCAGAATGTCAGGACAGCGACAAACCGCCAAGGCACGGTAGTTCATAAACCATTGCTTTTGAAACGTCTTCTTAAGGTGCTCTCGCTTCTGAAAGTGAACAGATCTACGCAGGCGGTATGTTTGCAAAATATTGTTATGACCAAAGTAACCTTGCAAGTCTCGGTCCGCCTAGCCTGGTGCACAAGTAAATGCAAGAATTCGCATCATCTTCTGCTTCTGACGCTAGGCCTATGTCTAGGCCTAGGGCGGCTTGCTTCTGGTGGCAGAGCCAAGAGCTAACGTTGACTCTTTTTGGCTGTTTGTTGCGCCTGTTCTTTTTGCGATGCCTCGGGCCTTTTAGCCACAGCGACCAAGCGCGCTCTGTCAGCTCTGGAAGCGCATCCGTTCACAAGCGACTGCAAGAATTCTGCATCTTCTGCTTCTGACGCTAGGCCTATGTCAAGCCCTGCAGCGGTCTGCTTTCACTTGCACGCACACTGGTGGCAAAGCCAGAATCCAACTTTGACTCACAGTTAGCTCTACTCCGCACATTTAGTGTAGTGCTTTGCTTTGAACTGTAATGCTTTCAAGCAATCTTCGTCACGCCTTCCGCTGCGGCCTGAGCCAGGGCACCGTCAGTCCATTAGCAACATTCGAAGAAGAGAAAACCGAGCAGGGGGGGTGCAGGATCAAAAAATAATTATTTACGGGATCACAAAGAAATTATCGACACCCGGATCAAAAACAAATTATTTACAGGATCAAAAACAAATTATCTGGCCTGGGGGTGCAAAAACGCTGTAATTTACATCATTTTCGGGCAACAGCGCGCGCATTTTACGGCTCCAGCTGGAAAATGGACAATTTCCAATACAAGCGCAGTACGCGAAGGTCACTTTGGCAGCTCCAGTTCGAAAATCACAACTTTTCAGATACAAGCGCAGTTCTATCAACGAATCTAGCATCGGTTAAATGCCTGTAGGGTTGGCTTAAGGTTGTGTAGGGTTAATGTAGGTTGGGTTTCGGATGGGTTTGGGGTGGGTTCAGGCTTGGTTTAGGGACGGTTTAGGGTTTGTTTACGGTGGGTGGATTTAGGTTGGTTTAGGGTAGGTTTAGGTGTTGTTTGCGGGTTTAGGGTGGGTTTAGGGTTGCTTTAGGGTGGGTTTAGGGTGGGTTTAGGGGTGGCTTAGGGTTGGCCTGGGAATGGTTTAGGGTTGGGTTAAGGGATGGTTTAGGCTAAGTTTACGGTGGTTTAGGGTAAGTGTAGGGTAGGGTTAGGGCAGGTTTAGGGTTGGTTTAGGCTGGGAGGGTTTGGGGTTGGCTTAGGTTGGTTTAGGGTTGGTTTAGGTTGGGTTTAGGGTGGTTCTAGGTTGGCCTCGGGTAGGTTTAGGGTGGGTTTAGGGTGGGTGGGTTTAGGGCTGGTTTAGAGTTTAGGGTCGGTTGAAGGTCAGTAGGGTTGGTTTAGGGTGGGTTTAGGGTTGGATGAGGTTTGGTTAGGGTTGCTTTAGGGTTGGTTTGGCTGGGCTAAGGCTTGGTTTAGGGTGGGTTTAGGTTTGGTTTGGGGCTTGAAAGTTGTTTATGGTTTTTGAGGAAAATTTAGGGTAGGTCTCGGGCAGGTTTAGGGCGGGTTTAGGGTTGGCTTAGGTTGGTTTTGGGTCTGTTTAGTGTAGTTTTCGGGTGGGCTTAGGCTGGGTTTAGTGCCGGTTTACGTGGCTTAGGGTTGGTTTAGGGTTGGGTTAAGGGATGGTTTAGGCTAAGTTTACGGTGGTTTAGGGTAAGTGTAGGGTAGGGTTAGGGCAGGTTTAGGGTTGGTTTAGGGTTGGTTTAGGCTGGGTTTAGGGTTGGCTTAAGGTTGTGTAGGGTTGGTTTCAAGGTTGGTTTAGGGTTAATTTTGGTTGGATTTCGGGTAGGTTTGGGGTTGGCTTAGGTTGGTTTAGGGTTGGTTTTGGATTGGTTTAGGGTGGGTTTAGGTTTAGTTTAGGGTCTGTTTAGGGTGGGTTTAGGGTGGGTTTAGGGAGGGTTTTGGGTTTGTTTGCGGTGGGTGGATTTTGGTTGGTTTAGGGTAGGTTTAGGTTGGGTTTAGGGTGGTTTTAGGTTGGCTTCGGGTAGGTGTAGGGTTGGTTTGCAGGTTTAGGGTGAGTTTAGGGTTGCTTTAGGGTTGGGTTAAGGGTTGGTTTAGGCTGGGTTTAGGGTTGGCTTAAGGTTGTGTAGGGTTGGTTTCAAGTTTGGTTTAGGGTTAATTTTGGTTGGGTTTCGGGTGGGTTTGGAGTTTCGGGTGGGTTTGGGGTTGGTTTAGGATTGGTTTAGGGCGGGTTTAGGGTTGGTTTAAAAGTTGCGCAGGGTCGGTTTCAAGGTTGGTTTGTAGGTTGGTTTTGGGTTGGTTTAGGGTGAGTGTAGTTTGGTTTAGGGTTGGTTTCGGGTAGGAGAGCAGGCCAGGAGACCAGCAGACCAGGAGACCAAGAGACCAGGAGACCAGGAGACCAGGAGACCAGGAGACCAAGGACCAGGAGACAAGACACAGGAGACCAAGGACCAGGAGACCAGGAGACCAGGAGACCAGGAGACCAGGCGACCAGGAGACACGGGGACAGGACACCAGAAGACCAGGGACCAGGACCAGCAGGAGACATGGGGACCAGGAGACCAAGGACCAGGAGACCAGGAGACCAGGAGAGCAGGGGACCGGAGACTAGGTCTCAATAATTTGTTTTTGATCCCCTAAATAATTTTTTGTTGATCCCCAAAATAATTATTTTTTGATGCTCATCCCGCAGTGGGCCTAGGACTGTAAGTGTTCGCACGGTGCAGTGGGATACTACATTTACAACGCTCAAGATGATGACATGTAAGCGTTTCAGCTACTCATATATTACCACGGGTTGATATTTCCAAACAAATGCAACCCATACTGCTTTGCTATGTTCCTGGTTTAGCGTTGGCGAGTTTGAGTATTTCAATTGACTCATGCATACATATCAACTTTTCATATGTGTGTGTAATAACTTTTGCGAATAAGCAATTTGGACTTACCCCTTAAAACTCCAAGCCCTGGGGAAGTTAATCTTTTACAGACGTACTGCCCATGTTACCCAAAAAAGTTGAAAAGTTGGGTTTTTAAGAGGTAAGTCTGGAGCTACATGCGAGTCTGGGCGTCTGGGTTAGGTCGTCTGTTGTTGTCTTTGGTTCTCTGTATCGTGTGTCTTGGTTTGTTTGCTTCTCTGTGTTGTTGCGCCTTTGATTCTTCTTCTTTGTTACAGAGTTTCTGTTTCATGGTTTGGTTGCTTCTTCTTGGTCGCCACCGCTTTCATATTTAACCATGTCAGGAGTTGTTAACGGTTTTCATTGTATGTGAAACATTTTACGTGTGTCAACAAGATGTGACATGTTTGGTATAACCTTGCAGGTGTGTACACAAATGTGTACATGTGTTGGTTTCTTTGCTGCTTTGTTTCTTTTCTGAAGAGCTATAAGTTCTAAGTTTGTCAATAATTTGTTAAGCCTTGCATACGACACTACCCTGTGACTCAAAACAACTCGCATTCAAGCCAGCATCTGCCTTTCTGCAGCAAAAGCACCATGCAAGACCAATCCCAACCTGTGCTTACTGAGAGACTGAGCCATCTCATTCCACAGACCCATGCTCGCTTTAGCGCCCAAAATTACTGAGATAGAGCGGTCCGGTCGCAAGATTGAAAAGATGTGTTCAAAAGGATTCGATTGTGTGTTTGTGTGGACTTGCTTGCGTGTGATTGCGTGCTTGCGTGCTTGTTTGCTTGCTTTCTTGCTTGCCTGCTTGTTTAAAGGGGGAGGCGCTTTGGTTCAAGCACGCCCTTTGTAGGCGCGTGCTACATGAACCGTGCTGCATGAAACTAAAAACGCCAGGGTCCATCAAGACTCCAAGCCAGGTTCCGTCAAGTCCCGCCCCATTCAAAGCGCCTGGATGTAAAAACAGCGTGGCATGAGAACCTCCACCATCCTCGACATGGGAAGCTTGAACCTTGAGCTTTAGGCAAACGGAAGGAATTTCAGAAGTCCAAGCATGTCTAAACTTGGCCCTCCTGCCATGGCCTGAAACCAATTAACAGGGATGTGGGCGGCAGCAGGGAAAATGGACAAACCGCACGCATCCCTGCTAATTGGGGTGTATGCTTGAGGCTACTCATTCTCCTTGGCTTTAAGGGAAAACCAATTGGAAAACCACGAATTCTGGGACTTCCCTACTTGATACACGCTGGACAAAGGATTTCACCAGCTGAAAGTAAGAGCTTCCAATGAAATAAAGAAACCTTCATCGTAGGTGACGTCGCAACCCTCCTAGCGATCTACGTTGCAATTTGCCTAGACCCACAACGCCGATTAACGGAGGGGTGCTCCCTCTACAAGGGATAAATCACCCCTAAAGCTCATCCTATGAATCAACCAGGGGTTCAGTAATCCGGGCTGCCCAGCTTCCGGCCGTACCCTTCTGACTCCCGGCTCCCCATACGAGGCACGGCCGTCTTGAAGACGGGGGAGCTCCACACTCCGCGGCAGCCCCCAGCCTCCCGGGGGCCGCCGCACAAGCGGCGCTGCTGGAGGATCCACGGCAGCTTGGGCCACCTCTTCGCAGGTGACAGACCGAAGCACGACGTGCTCCTCACTTCCGGTTGGCCAAAAGACGTAGCTTCAGCTTCCCACTAATGAGTGGTTTGGATTGATGGCTCGGTGGTTAAGAGGTGGTTCCGCATTTACCCTCTACAAGAACCGATTCAAATCTTCAAACCACCAATCCAAATCACCAGTTAGGGGGTAACCTCAAGGCATGTCTTCCCAAAAATGAGTCCGGAAACTTACGGTGTTGGACCCCCTGCATCTTGGCATGGGGCCCCAAAACTGGGCTCCTTGATAAATGAGAATCCTCTAATGAATAGTTTTTGGGTTTCATGTTAATCTGCAACCGGGTCGGCTCGGGGAGAAAATCGAAAGAAGCAGAAGTGGCCGGAATGGCCAACTTTCCATCCCGCGGTTCTTCCACACCATGCCTTGGAAGAGCAATGGCTTGGAACACGCTGAGTTAGGTTCTACCTGCCAACCAAAGGACCCAAAAGGGGCAAACAAGCGGTCAGCCAATGCTTCAAATTCAACCGGCTCAGCTAGGCCCTAGGTCAGCCAGCCAACCACCCAGCCACGCAGCCAACCTGTCAGCCTGCCAACCTAGCAGTGAGTGAGGTGTTCCCTAGTGACAGATATAAACGACATGGTGCAGGTTCAACGGAAAACCCCACCGGCTTGCAGAAGATCTGCTGAGCGAGGACCCAGCACAAAAAGCGACCATGACAACTCCAATCTCTCGAATCTAATCAAAGCCTGGCTAACCAGGCAGTATCGAATCAACGAACCAAAACAACAATCACAAACAAATTAACCAGCCACATCAATCCAACCGTGTCAACACGCGAACCAACCAGCGGAACATTGCAAGCAGGTTGCGAGCCGCTGTCGTCCAATTCAAGTTGCCAGTTGGGAGCCTTGACAAATGATTCGGACGCACTGAGGACAAGAATCACAAGTCGAGGTTCAAGGCTTTCTAGACAAGGACAAGCTTGGTTGCAGTTGACCCCTCAGCAAAAAGTTTAACTTTCTGTGGGCCTAATGGACAAAAAAGCAAGGGATCTTTGGTGAGCGCCTCTCCCGGTGAGCTTGCGCTAGGCAGAAAGCGAAACCGGCCCACTCAGCGCCTGGTCCCGTGGTAACCAACGGAGGGCTCACCTGCCAGTCCCACATCCTCTGCCATGCCCGTTGCGGCGTCCCCGTTTCATGTATGAAATTTCGAAATGTACCCAGTGCTCTCAGTCACCACTGCAGTAGGTAACCAAGGGATCGCGTAACACCCAGAGGCCCAGTGGTCATCGGTTCCTCCGTGCATGGCTACTCTCCAACTCGCATGCCTGAAGCTTGTGATTGGCTTCTGGATGACCAAGCTGCGTGCTGTTGCCCTGCTTTGTGAACTGGCCTTGCTCACAACTTCTCTCCTCAGCTCACCCACTAAAAATGCGAGGATGCTTTGGATTGGTGAGGGGATGTTGGGGCTGCGTTCCTTTGGCACCTCTGCCACGGAGTCACCGCCTGAGCTTAAGCTCTTTCCAGTACCTATTGCGAAACAGGCACGGCCAAGTTTCTCTCTTTGCCCACCCATTTGCCAACCGAGACCCTCCATTGGCTTTCTCTCTCTCTGCCAAAAGGTCTTGACTCAGCAAGCCTCCATTACCAGGAAAAAAGAGAACATGTTGCCAGTAGTGATCCATTCCCTTTAAAACCAACGTGGGAAAAGAAAACAATACATAAGAATACTTTTTTCAGCAAGTTGGAAGAGACTGCGCGTTTCTCCGAACACGGGGCGTCTGGAGAAGCAGTCGGTGAGTGCCTCCTGGGGCTGAAGAACCCAGCGTGGCAAGTCGCCCCATCCTCAAATCCCACCCTCCTTCCCAATAACGTGCCCGAATGAACCAGCCTGGCTGATTGACAAGGGGGTTCTCCCCCCCACCCCCCCAAAACCAACAGGTGGAGGATTTCCCCTTAAGACAACTGAAGCCCCATGCTTGCTTACCTCTTCCCGGGAATCGCGATCCCTTCCAGCCTTGCGTCGCCAGGTTTTCCGGCAGCTCCGGCTCCAACATGCTTCGCAGCTCCACCCGCAGCCAGGAGGCCTGCACCTCTCCCCAGCGGCCGCCGGGCGTGCCGTTCACCACGTGCCGCACCTCCCTGGCCGGAGAGCGGCACGCCGAACCCGCTGCCATTTGGCATGAGGGCTTCCAGCCGGTCTTTTGCACAAGGACACATGCATCTAGGCCCATCCTGGGCCTTCAATCCTCCTTTCCGCCTTGCTCCCAAACTTCTTAAACCTCGCAAGACTAGATTTCGCCGAAGAAGAGACACATATTTTTGTGGTGGCCGGTGGCTTCACAGGGGCTTGGCTCAGCCAGTAGTTGGAGCCCGAGTACTTAAGGCACGCGTGCCCTGAATGATGCGGCGGGGGGCGGGGCGGGAGCGCAAGGAAGGGAAGAGGAGGGGTGGGGTCGGGAACGACAACGTCACCGCCCAGAGCGACGGTCCAGGCACTCCAGAGACGATTTGCGCTTCACCGTCTTTGTCGGTTCACTCATCTCCGAGCAGCGCAAGGTGGCAAAGAAGACAAGACTCCGCGGGAGGCTTGTTAATTCTCCCCTCAACTCTAAAAACGGCGTTCAACAGCCGCAAACAGCATGCTCAGAGTGCATGGCGCGATCAAAGCTCATGAGCACAACGTGAATGTTTGAGCTGCCTAGGAGCGTTTTTGCAGCATGCCATCTTGACAAATCCCCACGCAGGCCATACGCAAGCGTGATACCGCAAAAATTGCTCCAAAAGTCCAGGGATTCTTGGAAGTATAGGTGACCAACATAGACCAAAAGGACCAAACTAGGACAAGCAAAAGGCCCAAAGGTCGGCTTTGGGCAAGGTGGGGGCCAGCCTGGCGCCAGGCCAGTTGAACAAGTCATCGAAGTGCTCGGACTGCGCAGGGGCGCCTAGGACAAGACAGAGTCACACGGTCCCAAGTGACGCATGCAACAAATAACCTCTGGATGTGGTTGAAAGAGACACCCCGCCCGAAACTGACAAGGGCAGCCGCCTATGGCAGATCTGTTGTACTGCTAGGGGATGATTAAGGATTGCTTCTTTTGAACAGCCTGGGATTTACAAATTTTGCTCCTTTGCTTGCTCGTTCGCCCTATGTACTTCTTTTTTTCCGGGGAGATGGTAGATCTTGCCCGCCTTCCCCACAACAGGCGGGATGAAACTATAAATGGGTGTGGTCTCAAAGGGACAATGGATGCTACTGGACTGATGCCAACTGGCATGAACAGATGTTGCCAATTTGGTTGCCCCTTCGGCTTTACTTTCAAGGCCTTCCTGATTATGACCCTGGATAGAGGTGGCTAGTGGTTCGTAACCGGGGGAAGGGGGGGGGCAGCTTGACAATGGAATTCAACATCGTAAAGTTGATCCTGGGACCCCTCCACTCTCCAAAGGAATCCAACCAAAGATTGCGTCATTGAGTTTTTCGCCCTTCCCAAGGATGGACCAAGCAAGATGCCTCACGTCCACCCGAGAAGCGGTCGAAGGCAGTGCTGGTTGCCCACAGGAACTGCAGCAAGGGGCGGCATTCCTGCGCCCAGCTGGCCGCTGAGTTGCGCTCACAGTGTCTCAAGATGGTCTGAAGCAAATTGCTGAGTCACAATAGCCGGAAATCTCTGCATGGCACCATGTCATGCAAAAACTGGACAACAAAGCCTTGCAAAATGCCAAGCAAGGTGGGGCAATGCTCCAGGATGTGTGCCACATTGCACAAATCCATGCGTCGAATCTTGCGCAGAAGCAAGCTTCGAAACGTGCGCGCGGCACACAGCGTGGGAAGTGATGCGTCTTGATGACGTCGGATGCGGCAATATGTGAACAGGGCAGCGAAGGCTGCATGAAGCCCATCTTTCCGATGTCTTCTCGATGCTGTATTTCAAAGACGCAGCAACAATCAATACTATGACTTTTGCTCCGGTGATGGGACATAGGGCGAGTGCTTGCACGGTATGTCCCCCCAAAAAGAGACAAGAAAGACGCACACACACACACAAACAGAACAGCTAAGTAACCCCTCAAGCAGGCTCAGAATACTCAAGATTCAAGCCAGCTGGGCCGGCGCAAGCGTAAAATCATGCGGACCCCCGAAAACGTATGCGGCCCCGACCCCGTCCCGTGGGAAGCAATGAAAGGGAGGTGACTCCCACTGGCTTACCCCTGGCTTCCACGAGCCATCTGCCGGGCAGGCCTCTGATTGATGCCTTCTTGAGCGTGTGACAACCACACCCCAGTTTGCTTGCTCACGCCCATGAATATAGCAGGGTTCATTTTGGTAGTTTGGGATCATGACCAAACATGAGTTTCAACGCCCAAGGGAAGCCCTCTGAGATTTCCAAATTGTGCGACTCTCACCTCAGAAGCGCCACAAAAGCGAGACCCGTGAGGCTGAACGCTCAGCTGGCCGAGCACCTCTTTGGAGCTTGGGCCGGCCGGCGGCCCGTCCTGCAGCAAGCACTCCCGTGTGACCTGCGGCAGGATGGTGGTGGGCGCGGGCGCCGCTTTGGCTTTTGCGGCCTTCGGCGCAGGCGTCTTCGGCGCCGGCCTGGGCTTGGCGGCTCTTGCCCCTTGCGCAGCAGGCGAAACTTCTTGCGGGTTCATGGGAAAATGCACGTTTCCCACATATCACCAAAAAGGCAAAGGCGAAGTAGAACCCAAGATGAGGCAGAAGGGACATGGACATGGTTGTGGAAATCACACATTTCACGTTAAACTAAAGTGGGATTCCCATCCCCATGACCACCTTTTCAACTCAACGGGGACTTCCTTGGCATCACAGAAAGTGATACATTGCCTGGATGGAAAACCTTGATGAACCTCCTACCCCCTACGGAGGTCAGGGCAGTCAGGCAAATGAGGTGGCCGTAAAAAACGTGCGCATGTAATGTCGACATCTTGTGCCTGTGCAGGGCTGTTTCTCAAATTGCCTCCAACCGTATGGGTGTGACCCTATTACGGGACCCACCCAAAATGGTGGTTGTCATTGGCCCTCTTCAGCGTTTAAACCGGCCAAACACAGGGTTTCCTAAAACGGCACACATGGTGAGTCCAAGTGGCTCATGCTAACATGTCTGAATCACTCACTTCCTGAGCGCCCGGCCAAAACGAGTCTAACCTTTTTGTGCACCACCAGAGCTGTCTTTTTCACACAGACATTTTTTAAGTCCAGGAACTCAGGAAGTGAGATCACCTCCTGTGAATGGGAATGGGAAGACTTGGGTACGGCCATCATGCCAAGGCACGTTCACTACTTTATGCTGGTGGGCATCGCATTTAGAACCCCACATCCCTCCGCTGCAGAGCCGCGGCGCTGCGGCTCCTCCTTGGCTTTGACCGTCCAGCGCGGCTCTTCCTTGGGCTCCTTCAATGTCCAGCGCCCCATCGACGCGCGTGGGGGCCTGCGGGTGAGGAGATGGAAGCATGATATGGCATGCATCAACTATTGCAGCGTGAGGTGGCAATGCTTGCTTGGAAATCCCCAGATAGAGAAATCTATAGGGGTTCTAACTTCTAATAACGAGGGGACAGTGATTTGCGAGATTGACGACAGGGTGCTAGGGGCCATGCAGTTTGGGGTGCTGGGCGCATTTTTGCGAGATTGATGGCCGGGTGCTCTGGGGGCGCTGTTTGTGGCGCTCTTCGGGGGTGCTGTTAAAGGTGCTGATGTGCAATCATCGGCCTGTCTTTTTTCGCTATCTGGGGTCTATGCTGGTGTAATTATGTTGCTTGTTGTGTTTATTGTGTTTGGGTTGCGGTGTTGGTGTCTTGGCATTTTTATTCGGATCCCAAGGGGTCAGGCAAGGGTTGAACTGGAACCCTAGGGCAAGGTCGAGCAATTCAGGCCCTTGGGGCCAGTCATGAAAACCAGCGCTGCCACTCCTGGCCACTCGAAGACCATTGTGCTTGAGGACATGAAGTGTGCCCGCTCAGGGTTCGCATAGACATATATGGGGCCTGTGCTACATGTGAACAGAACCTAAGCCAATCCGAAGCAATCCTAAACCAACCCCAAACCCACCTAGACCGACCCCAACCAACAGGACCACAAAGGGGCGACGCGAGGACGGTGTGGCAACGCTGTACCAAATCCTGAGTGTGCCTGCAATGTCCCGAGCCTTGGCCAAACCTAGCATCTACGTCATGCAGAATCACACAAACACAGGATCAGGAACCGAGGGCCAAAACCCGGAACCAATTGGCTGATGCCCCACCCAAGCCGACCGCCCGGATCATGAAACTTCTGACTCCAAAGGCGGGTGAGAGTTGCGCTTTCTCTCCAAGCCCTGCTTCTCCATTCTGCAGATCATGCTGGTAACTCTTGATGAACCCGGAGGACCCTACTAGTCAATGGAACCCCGTAAGCTAGAGCATGTCCTTTCTAACAGAAAGGCCATCTGCCAAACCCCGCTGTACTGGCGCCAAGCCACCGAGCCCTCGTAGCTCATTGCACATATTATGCAAAGCCCGCTGAATTCAGCGGCGCGCAGCTCGCGCGGCCCGGGGTGCGGAAAGTGTCTTGCTGGTGCTGGGGGGAAAAATGACGGCACCCAGTGGAATTGACACCTACCCGCGCTTCGGCCAAGATCTGCCAAAGGAAAATTCTCATCGGAATGACGCGCACCGGCTCAAGTCGCCTGTGAGCCATGGAGATGGCCCAGGGAAATGCGAGACCTGGAGCCTGGAGGTTTTGAAGCCGATTGAAAGTTCACTCATCTTTCTTGGCTCCAGCCTCTGCTCAATGAAGACAAGTGCCCTCCTGTCCAATCACATGAAACCTGACTGAGGGGTCCTGGAAGACTCTTTTCCTCCAAAAGGGAACCTCTGGCGGGTGCCATTGACAGAAGGGCAAGCACTTTGACAGTTTCAACCTTGGACCAGTCAGGGAGGACCAGCAGCTCCTTGATGCGGAAACCAGATGGACAAATACAAACAGGGGCCCTTGGACGGCCAACATCCGCTAACCCAACCACCTCCACCGTTTTTCTGTTTTGTGCTTTGGCAAGATGTCTGAATCCCGCTCCAAAGAGCAAGCCTCCCTTCTAACTGAAATCTGCGGAGTCGAACATATGTGAAAGGGCGCGTATGCTCCTGCTGCTCCTGCTGGCTTCTGTTCGATTGTGTCTCCAAGTGCCCTCTAACGACAAATGTCTTTCCCGGAGAAGTTCGACCCATGTTGTGGATAGTTGCTCGGTTGCTGTTGACACCTCTGCACAAAGCTTAAATTGTTGTGGGTCCACTGAGCACTGCGGAAAATCAGCGCCGTTTCAACCAACAAACTCAGGTCCGAAGATCCAAATCGCCATGAAGGCCGGGTCAAAAAAAACAAAAAACTCAAACACGGGGCAGGCTCCTCAAATCAGGTCCCTCTTCCCCCTTTCCCCGGGCCAAAAGGGCGCTTGGCTTTTGGGCTCTTGGCTTCCGGGCCCTGCAGGCGCTCCGCCACAGCGCCTGAGTGAGCCATGCGATCCATTCCAAAAGCTCCGAATCTGAGGGGCCATGCACGTGGGAGGACGCCTGGGTTCCCCAAAATTTGGGGTGTTCGTGGCTCCCGCAATCGCGGACGTTTCCTTCTGAGGTTTCCTTTTCAAGCAATCTCAACAAGGCACCGAAGCTCAACCAAAAACACAAAACAAAAACCTACAGCGCCAGAAATTGGATAGGGGGCTACCAAAAATCGAAACCCTGGGATTATCGTCTGTCGCTTTTGTGCCCCATTGAGAGATCACCCCAAAAAGCTCAAATCACAAAAGAAAGTGAAAGGAAGCAACCCCGATGGGAGGTCGTCTGCCAACCTGGCCCCACCCCAAAATAAACAAAAATACAAAATATGATTCTGTTCCGTAGCTGGCCTACCCCAAAAAAAGAACACCAGAGTAATTATGCCTATCGCTACTTAAACTGCTTACAGCCTTCTATGGCAAGCATGACTGTAGCATAGTTGTGTTGTTCAACCAACTTCATGGCAAGTCCACCAACTTCTTCATGGACACTGGCATTTATCCTTTGTTCCACCGGGCACCCTGGAGATCCCGCGACAAGGCGCAGTTCAGGTGGTGGAAGCCGGGGCCTTCCTCGATGAGCTTCAGGATGCGCTCCTTGTCCTCCGGCACCGACGCCTCCGCCTGCAGAAAGCGACCGAAATCCACGGCCCCTGCATGACGTTTGGGTCTTTCTGGCCTCGTTCCACCAAATTCTTAGCCACCCAAGTGGTAGGTCAAAATGAAACCCTGGCCTCATGATTCCACACTCACCAAAGTGGCAGGTCAAAAAGGAAATAACCCCGGTTTCTGACTTTGAGAACCCCTCGGAAACAGTTAAAGTAATCTCCCCAGGCCTAAGTGGTCAGGCATTTGCTTATAAGCCTTGGGGGAACCATCAAAACAGGTAATTGGAACCCGACCCCCTTGTGACATGGCCAGCGGAGGTGTTCGGCGCTTAAATGGAGGTCCTTTGTTCAGCGAAATGCGCTTAGTAATTTGTATTATCTGGGATTCTGTTCAACAAAGAGAACGGAAGCCACAAAGAAAGACAAGCCCACAGAACGGTCCAGCCAAAAATGATAGGCTCTGCTGGTTGCTCGTCAGATTTGGCTGGAAAGAGGGTGCTCAAGTCTGCTTGAAGGGGCAGAGTACGTCAGGTAAGTGATTCATGAGCCTGGCCATAACACTGAACGGAGACTTACAACCGTGGCCTTTGTGGGTTGTCTGGGCGCGTGGCTTTTTGAGCGAGCAAAGAATGCACAGAGGGGCGATGCGCCATAGCATATCCCACAAGGTGCCCAAACAAGCACACGTGCTTCCTCGCGGCTGGTGCTGGTCATCTTCAGCAGGAGTTTTGCGCGATGAAGCGGCAAAACACGGGGCGCTGAGCTTCTTCGCCCAAGCCCCAAGACCCATGAGGAAGCATCCGTTTGAAACCTGGCGGACTTGTGAACTGTGATTGAAACAAGTCACCTTTTCTGTGATACCAATTTCGACCATCCCGAAGACTATTTTAGCTTCTTTAAAGGGGCATAAAAGAACATTCACGTGTGCAGAACTATGTTCAAAGTTGTCTTCCCAGGAGCCCCACCCCCCCACCCGCCACCCCCAAAAAACTGTAACAACAAAATAAAAACACACACCCACACAACATGGCGGTGTTGCTTCTCCCAGATTTCACGCGCGCCTGTTCCACCTTGACAGCGCCGAGGGCCGCCCACACCTCCGGAAGGGGGTTGACAGCCGAGGGCGTGAAATAATTAAGAATTGGGCCGTGCGGTCTTTGAAAACCACATGGTCATATTAGTTTGTCTCAAAATAGGAAACCCCAAAGAACTGGTTGGCGCCTGTTTCCTTTCATCTTAACATCAAATGCGGGTACCCCTAAAAACGCCACACACGCACACCAATTTAGCCTCCATCACAAGAGCATGTTGCGTATTTGCTTAGCCCCTGCCAAAGACTATTGCGGGGTCCATGCGCAGGAGGGGTATACATGACAGGGATCCTTACATTATACACCTGAACATTGCCTTGTAAATTGTGGTTTCCCTTTGTTTTGGTGGAAAAAGCCATGTTTCAAATGGGCAAAATGTATCTTTAAGGAGCCCTGCATGAGTTGCCCTTTTTCCCACCAAAGGGCCCAACTTGACCGGCGCGAGCCAACGAATCAGAGCAACCCGTGACTAGTTAAGCCCGGGAGCCAGGTCCTGCGAACCACGTTGGCACATCACCAGTGGCCGCAGCTGTACCATAAAGGGCATGCGTTAAAAAAAACATGGTACTTGTTTTGAGACATCGTCCAAAAGAATCCTAGGCATGACTCATGGCTTTCAAACTTCGGGCAGGCAGCAGCCTTCCATTTCTTGGGCTCTTGAGCTTCCTTTGCGCACCAAAAAACAGCACTCTGGCGCTGATAAAATAGTCACCTCCATTTCTAGACGGAAAGTGCCACAGCTCCCCTCAACGGGTCCAAACCTAAGAAATGACTCTGCGAGGCATCGCTTTCTGGTTGCCCAGTAATTAACCCCGGCGCCTTTCAAAAGGAAAAAAACAAAAGAAAAAACACATCCTTTCAACCTCTCTCTCTGTGACCATTTTTTCCGTCGCCGAGCCACCGAATTCGGATGTCCAGCATTTCGGGTCTTATGAAAATTGACACCCAAATTGGAAGATCGACCCCTTTGCTTTTTTGTTCCCTTCTTCTTCCTTTTTTTTTGGGGGGGGGAAGCCACCGACGGCACCCACCGAACCAACCAGGACACTTAGCTTCGTGGCCGTCCCGTCGCCTCCCCAACGCCGCCGGTGAGCAGCGAGCTGCGGAAGTCCTCCGCTTCCTTGGGGGGCATGGCGATGATCACCTCCTGCGATCGCTCGGGCACGCGGAGGGGGGGGGGGGGTG